AGTATGTAATTTTAACATTTGACATAACAGTTTTTTTTTTTAATTACTTGTTGAATAATTTTATCCCTTAAAATACATAAATATTTAGAATCAATGTAACGTTGGGTTTTATTTTGTGTTTTCTAATATAGCAGTGTCCATATTTGTCTAAATAACTTTTTTTTAACGATTACGTAATAATTTACCTTTATATAATGATTTACTGACTTTAAATAAAAGTCGTAATTTATTACAAATCATTGCTTTTTTTTTTTTTTTTTAAATTGAACCAACGGATATTAAGGAAATAAATTAATTTAAAATAAAGAATAGAATAGAAAAAAAGACCGGAAAACTCCAACAGAGATTGATTGTCAGAAAAGAATATAAATCAACAAATAACTTAAATCAGTAATCAATGTCAGGTTTTATTTAAAATTTTTTTCTTTTAGTTAAATAAAAATGTTTTTCAAAATAGCAATCCCTTCATTTTGTTAAAAAATATTCTCTCCTTTGGTGAAAAATAAATTTTTTGTTACCATCTTGTAAGCTTTACTTATATTTGACTTGTAATTTTTTAAAAATTATTGTTATATTAATTTAAATTAATTTTTTTTTTTTTTAAATGAGTGAATAAATCAAGTGATTATTTTATTTTAAAAAAAAAAAGTTTAATTATTTAAATAGATACATATATGAATATAAAATTTAAATTACAGTTTTTCTCAGTGAAAATATTAAAATGTAATAAAACTAATTTTTTTTTTTTTTTTTTTAGCCGTTAACGTACATTCGACATGGTAAAATTCTTCTGGTCTTTCATTACAATATTTTTGATTTTAAAATTTACAATTTCTGCTCATAATGGTGAAGAACATACAAAATATTATTCAAATGAATGGGTGATAAGATTAGAAGGGGGCCAAGATGTAGCAGAATTAATATCAGCTAAATTGGGTTATAAATTATTGGGAAAGGTAAGTCAAAATTTAACATTTTTTTTTTTTCATTCATTTTTAGAAAAAAAAAAAATAAGAAAAAATTTTACTATATTCTTTATAAATTTAAATTATTATTATTATTATTTATTGCAAATAGTATGAAAAATGCATATAAATAAATAATAATAATAATAATACAAGTTTATTTCATTCCTGAATTTTAACAGGCATTCATTTCAGAAAGATTCTTGAGAAAAGTGAAGGAAATGATTTATATAAAAAAAAAAAATAGTTGATTTAAAGTAAAACTATATATAAATTATATTTTTATATAAAAAATATCATATTATTATTATATAATTACTGATTACAATTGTATTGTTTAGGTTACAGGATTTAATGATACTTACAGAATCATAAAAGAAGACATTTTCATTCAAAAAAAAAGAAATCATGCGCTACTTACAGAAACCCTTGAAAAAGACTCAAGAGTAAGCTATACATATATATATTTTATTTTTTTGTTTTTATTTGTATATCTCACCTTCTTTTAACCTTTCCAAAATTTTGTTGTGAGTGCTATTATTAATAAGTCCTTAAATTTATCTAATATAAAAATAAAAATCTACTTAAATATACTTTTAGGTAATTTGGGCCGAACAACAATTCACTAAAGAACGCGTTAAACGAGGATTTTTATACGATAACTCTCTGAGTACAGTGTATAATGAAAATAATGAAAAATTAACGCGACAATCAATTTTAAACTTATTGAAAGAAAAAAATATATCATACAATCAAGAAAAAATTTTATTTAGGCCATCTGATGTTAGCATGCGATACGCCAGCTACGATAGATTTAATGATGAACTTTGGAACCAACAGTGGTATTTGGTGAGAAAAATATCAGATTTCATTTAAAAAAAAAAAAAAAATTAAGATTTGATATTTAAATAACATTTTTTTTTTTTTTCATACTAGCAAGATACAAGAACACAATCAAATTTGCCAAAATTAGATCTTCATGTTCTTCCTGTTTACGACCTCGGCATCACAGGCAAAGGAGTAAGAGTTCTTATATTGGACGACGGTATAGAATATACTCATGAAGATCTGTGGGAAAACTATGTAAGAATTTTCAATGTCAAAGGTACTAAATTATAATGAGGTTAAACATTTATTTTAAATGATAGGATCCCGAAATCAGCTACGATGCTAATGATGAGGATGATGACCCTTTTCCAAGATTAGACGAAGAAGGAAGTAACGCTCACGGTACTCGTTGCGCCGGAGAAGTAGCCATGAAAGCCAACAATCTAAAATGCGGTGTAGGTGTTGCTTTCAACGCAAGAGTGGGAGGTAATATTCTGCTAATAATAAATTCACTGAAAAGAATATAATTAATGCTAAGGTATTATTATATCTAATTTCAGCTTTGCGATTATTAGATGGAGAAGTTAATGACAGAATCGAAGGTATAGCCTTGGGTTATGCTTATGACAAGGTAGATATATATAGTGCTTCGTGGGGTCCGACGGACGATGGAAAAACTGTTGAAGGACCTGGAAGATTGGCTAAAGAGGCTATTGAACGAGGAGTGACGGAAGTATTTAAACTATTTATAGTAAAATTTATTAATTTTTTTTTTTTTTTTTTTTTTAGAAAAAAGAAGAAAATCTTTGAAAAATTTTGATTTTTGATATGTCCGTAAGGAGCCCGTAGCGATAAACAATTTAAAATTTAAAAAAAAAAAGATAAAGTTTTTTCTTTTTAAATTTAAAAATCATAGAATTAAAGTTTTTTATGTGAACAAACTTGTTTCCAGTTGCTCTCACAAAATTTCCCATGATATAATTCGAATTAAAAGTAAATAAGTGAGTAAGTAGGTATAAATTAGAAAATCACGATAGCACTATTTAAATAAATTTACAAGGCGAGAATATCAGTTGATCAGGTTAACGTACTGATCATTAACATAATTTCATTTACTACAAAAAAAAACCACTTAATGTCAAAAAAATGATAATTAAAAAATTTTCCTTTCATAATTATATATATATTAATAACTATGAAAATAATTATAAATGAAATAAAAACATAATTTATTCTACAAAAAAAAAAAAAAAAAAAAAAAATTTCACATTGATTTAAAATCATTTATTTATTTATAAGAATTAATTGGTTTATCTCTTTTCAGGGACGAAATGGAAAAGGAGTAATTTATGTTTGGGCTGGAGGAAATGGAGGAAGTAAAGACGATAATTGCGATTGCGACGGATACATTGGAAGTATATATACATTGTCAATCGGAAGTGCTTCACAACATGGACAATTTCCTTGGTATGGAGAAAAATGTGCTGCTACTATGGCTGCTACATATTCTAGTGGAGCGTATGCAGATCAAATGATAGTTAAGTTTTGAATCATGAATAAAATAAAAAAAAATTTTTTTTTTTTTATTTTGAAGATAATTGTCAATTCTAATTTTTTTTTTTTTTTTTTTTTTTTTTCAGGCTACGACTGATGTAGGCAATACGTGTACAATTAAACACACGGGTACTTCAGCATCGGCACCACTCGCGGCAGGCATCATAGCTCTTGCCTTAGAAGCAAAGTAAGTTTTTATTTTTATAAATATTAATATTATATAATAATAATAATAAAAAAAAAATTCAAGCTCAGATTTAACATGGAGGGATATTCAGCATTTGGTAGCATGGACATCAGAATACAGTCCGTTAAGTGAAAACGAAGGATGGGTTATGAATGCAGCTGGATTTTGGGTGAACACGAGATTTGGTTTCGGTCTTATGAATGCTTATAGCTTAGTTGCAGCAGCCATTAACTGGACAAATGTACCGGAAAAATATTCATGTTCAATTGAAGCTGGAAAAAAGTAATTAAAAAAAAAAAAAAAAATTGTTTGTTTTTATTGACTTTTAAAATATGTATTTATTATACGGTTTTGTACTAATTTTATACGATCATTTACATATATTCTAAATACTATAAAAATTTTTTTTGGGGGGGGAGGAGGGGAAGGAGGGGAAGGAGGAGAAAAAGGGGGAGGAGAAGGAGGAGAAAAAGGGGGAGGAGAAGGAGGAGAAAAAGGGGGGGAGAAGGAGGAGGAGAGGGGAGGAGGGGAGGAGGAAATAATAAAAAATTATTGTAAAAATTTAATTTTTTCAGAAGCGAAGAAATTTACTGGGGTAAAGATGTAAATTTGGAAATAAATGCAACCGTTTGCGATTATGTTTACTATTTAGAACACGTTGAATTGGAAATTAATATAGAATATCCAGTTAGAGGAAATTTGGAAATTTTTTTGGAATCTCCATCAGGTAAATATTGCTATTAAAAATAATTAATTTTTTTTTTTTTTATTAGTCGGAATATCTTATTTAAATTTAGATAATTTTAAAAAATTTTAATACGCAATTACAGGAACAAATATTCAGTTGCTGGGGAGAAGAAAAAACGATAGTTCAAAAAGAGGTTTTAAAAATTGGAAACTTATGTCGGTATTGACATGGAATGAAAATCCACGTGGAATTTGGAAAGTTACTGTCACTGATAAAGTATGTAATTTAATATTTTTTTTATTTATATTACATTAGAAACTATCAAAAAAAAAAAAAATAGATTATTTGCGAAACGTTTATATGAAACTTAAAAAAAAAAAAAGGTATGATTTACATTAAAATTTTTAAACGCATTTTATTATGCATTCATGAGGTATAAAATTAAATTAAGTTAATGTATCTTAGATTGGGACTGCAAAGCAAAAAGGACGGACGGGAAAATTTATTTTACATCTTCACGGATTATATGATCGACCGAAATATTTGGAAAATCAAAATTTAAACACGGATAATAACAAAATGAATAAAAAAAATGAATTAAATACAATTGACATTGATGATAAATATTTTGGATGTAAATTTTTACAAAAATGGATGCCGTAATAATAATTAAAAAGTTTTTAATTTATTCTCATTTTAATATCTCTACACATAATTTTAATTTTAAAATAACTCAATTTAAAAAATTTGATTTTTTATTTTATGTTTACTTTAATATGCATCAATATTAAAAAGACACCCACGTAACTTTTTCTTTTTTTTTTTTTTTTTTTACTTATTATTGATTTTAATTTATGTAACATAAAAATAATTTGATATTAAATTAAAAATTTATTTAATTTTTATTTCTCATCATCTCCTTGATGATAAATTTTAGGATTGAGAATTGTTTTATTTAGGGCTAGAAAAATGTTATAAAAATTTATTTCTTGTTTTTATGAATTAAAAAAAAAAAAGAAAAAAATATTAATAATAAGTGAAAATCCCTTCTTTTGCGAGTCTTATGTAAAACAGTTTTTTTTTTTTTTTCTCTTTGATGAAAAACTATCATTTGTATATTTTATGTGTAGTTTAAAAAAAAAAAAAAAAAAAAAAAAAAAACATTGTATAGGGATTTTTGTTATGTTAAACAGTTTTTAATTGAAAGCATATTCATATGTTTCGTTTTTAATTATTAATACGAAAATAGCCGATTTTATCCGGAGAATAACGATTAACACATTCGTCTCCGATCGTCAGTCGCGAAGTAAGGCGGAAGGTCGTATTTGCGAATTGTGGTCGAGGTGTGGTGTTTGTAAATATTTTATTTTACTAGACAATTTATTTTAAATATTAAAATTGTAAATTAAAATTTAATTTTCATAAAACAGTAAATAATAATTGTATTTTCAATATGTCTAAATTTATATTTGAGTGTTTAATGGTTTCGCGTATGAGAATTAACGAAAAATGTGCATCGCGGACATCTTGAATGCTGTCTTTAGTTTGACTTGGAATTCACTTGAGATGATTAATTTTTAACTTTAAAAACCATTCATTGTTCATAATAAAAGATATATGAAAGTTTTTTTATTTAGGATATTTCAAATTTGACTGTTAAATCACGTGTGTTGACCTTTTATATGTATATATATCCGCATTAAAAAGTTCCTCTTGTACTTCATCGTAGTGTAGATTGACTTATGGATATTGCCAGTTGCGTCATACCAATCAAGGTACAGCTCCAATGTCTTTGTTAATAATTACTCTGATTTTTCTAGTCAAATTATAAAATTTTTTCCTATTCAAGGATATAACCTTGGATTGCATATCATTTGATTTCTTCATTAGGTTTTTTTTTCTTTTTTTTTTTTTTTTGTAAAATAAATTGCAGAGTGATTGATGATTTTGTTTTTTATTCTTTTTTAACTTTGAAATAATTTTTTTTTAAAAAAATTAATATAAAAATTTTTTATAATATATATAAACACGGATACTGGTTTTCAAAAAAAAAAAAAAAAAAAGTGTATTTTGTTAAAGGTCAAATACTTGGGTAAATTTTAATATTTACTAGAATTTTTGCTATAAATTCAAAAAAACTTTTTTTTCTTCTTTTTGTTTTATATAAATGAGAAAAATAAATGCTGATCAAAGTAGTTTTTTTAATTTATCTTTTATTTTTCTCATGCGAAATTTACACAAAATTAAGCATGTTAACAATTCCACTTAAGTGAATTTCATTTAACTTTAACTCTGATGCTTGTAAATTAAAAAATGTAGGTTATTTCTACTTTTTAATCTTTTTTCTTCTCTTTCTCTTTCTCCTTATAATTAATATGACTCTGTTTTTTTAAGAAGAAATCTTATTATCATTTCATAATTAGAATTAATATATAAAATAACAATAATTTTGAATTTCTATAATTTAAAAATTATTAAAATATAATTTTTTAACCTTTGAAAAATTATGTCGTTGTTATAAAAATCAATTGAGTATTGCCATTAATTTTTTTATTTTTTTTTATTTTTTAAATTTAAAAAAAAAAAAAATGTTGCAGTTTGTGCAATTTGCTTTCACACTTTAAGTTATTTATTTTTAGAAATTTTTTTAAAATACACTTTCAATAATTATTTCTCTTGACCTTTATTACAAAAAGTTTTTTTTACTTTTTTTTTAAGGTTTTCATGGTCACATTGAAATACTTTCTAATATTTTAAATGACTGACTGTATTTCACTTTGCTGTAATTTATGATGAGTTAGCAGAGAGTTTTATTTTATTTGTAAAGTGTTTTTTTTTATTATTATTATTATTATTATGTTCAAGATTATTGTTCTACATTGTAGTGAGATTTAAAAAAAAAAAAAAGTTATTTTTCACATGATAATAATTATTAATTAAAATATATTTTAATTTGTAAAAGGTAGTATTTGAGTTATTAACATAAACTTTTATCTTAAATTTTGAATTATAATTTCTGAAAAGTTTTTTAATATGAAATTTTAAATTTTATATATATGTCCAAGTAAATGATTTATTTTTTAATCAAGATGATTATTTATTTTTCTTTTTTATAATGTGTATTTATTTATTTATTATCATTAAGCAGATTAATAGAAAAACAATGATTGTACTTTAATAATTTACTACTCAGTGTAAATTAAAAAACTTTTGTTATTATTTTTGTTTTTTTTTTTTTTTTTGTTTTCGTTTAACTTCTTTTAAAATTTTAATGCCAATAATTTTTTAAATTTAGTACAGAGCCAAGAAATATTGGAAAATTTTCTACTTTAAATTACAATTTATAAATTAAACCTCTTTAGCAAACATTAAGCATGTCATTTTCATTATTATTATTATTATTATTTTTTATATTGCTTTAGGTCATTAATTTGATTACAATATTATTATTATCATTTTTTTATTTTTTTTAATTAATGTTATTTATTTAATGAAGCATAAACTAATAATATTCTTGGTAAAAGTTTTTTCATCTCATGATTTTAATGAACTTTTAAAAAAAAAAAATTTTTTTTTTTTTTTTTTTTTTTGTTGTAGTCTTTCAATGTGAGGAAGGACAATGCTCAAAGTCGCAAAGCTTGGCGGCTGGTGTCCAAATGACTCGAGAAAAAAAAAATGTTTGGTTTGGTTTGATTTTAAAACAAAAGGCTTAAATAATTTAAATAATTTTATGAAGTTAACATTGACACCATTGACCAATATTAATCGAGCTGTGATTGTTTTATCCATGTTAAATGTAGTTTTTGCTGATTACGCTTCAGATATAGGAAACGACAATAAAGAAAATGCTCATTATTCCAGACAGTGGGCAGTTTATATTGAAGGAGGAAAAGAGGTAGCCGATAAAATTGCTTCCAAACATGATTTTATTAATTTAGGAAATGTAAGTAAATTATTACAATTTGAAATTAAATTTTAATGCCTTTTTATTATTACTTTAAATATAACAAAAAAAGGTTTTTATTAAAAAAAAAAAAAAAATAATAATAATAAATTCAACAAAGGATTATAATAGAAAGTAATGTAAAATGAATTTCAAATAAAGGAAATTAAGTAATAATAATAAATTGCTGATGATATTATTGGATTAGATTTTATTTTTTTTTTTTATTCAACTAGTTAGATTTAGTTTCTATAATATTATTTAATTTATCTTTGAATAAAAATCGTTTTATTTGAAATTATTAAAAATTTCTCAATAGGCAAAAATACATTTTTTTTTTTTTTTCAAATGAAAAAAATAAATATTAATGCATTTGCATTATTGTTGACCCATATCAAAGGTCACGTAACTATTCGTTCTAATCTTAAAAATCCAGGAAAAAAAAAAAAAAAAACATGTTTGCATTGGAAATAAACAAATAAAGGGGGGGAGGGGGACTCTGTTACCTTAGGGGTATTTAAAGTTAACGGTAATTACTATTTTTTGACTTTAAAAAAAAAAAAAAATATAAATAACGATAGTAATAATCTTTATTATCATTATTTGAAAATTAATACTAATAAATGAAACATTCATTTTTATTTTTTTTTTTGTATTTATGTAAGTATTTAGCATAACGTTTTATGGACCATAATAATTAACATAATTTTAGTATTAGAATGTTTATTCTGTTAAATAATTATAATCTCCATTATGTACATCCCAACGGCCATGGATTTCAACAGCATGAAATTAAAAAAAAAGATCATTTATTATTATTTGAAAACAATAAAATTATTTATATAATAACGATAATTATAATTAAAATATAAATAAATTTTAAGTTAAATAATATTTATGTAATGTTTTCCATAATACATAATTGTTATTTAATTGCCATATGATTTTTTTTGTCCCCAATTATAATATTTTCCTTATTTATTTTTTTTTTATCGTCGATGAATTTTTTTTGAAGTAAAATCTGCTTAAATCTTATCTAATAAATTATATTATTATTATTATAATAATCATTTATTGTTTTATTTTCAGATTTTTGAAGATTATTATCATTTTGAACATAAACGACTTCAGAAAAGATCCCTAATTCCTCATACAGAATTTCATAAAAATCTTACTAATGAAGCTGAGGTAAAAAAAATTTATTTTTATTTTATTTTATTGAATGAATTTAGTTCACAATTTTTTTTTTCACTAAAAAAAAAAAATCATTTTAGTTAATAATAATAATAATTTACGGTTTATTACAGGTAAAATGGGCACAGCAACAAATAGTAAAGAAAAGATCAAAAAGAGATTTAATAACAATTAAATCTAAAACGAAATTTGGTGGGCTCAAGTTTAATGATGTCGAATGGCCACAGATGTGGTATTTGGTAAGTACTAATATTGGCACCATCATTTTTTTAAAATATATTACTATTTTATATTATTTATTTTAATCTTCAATGTTGTAATCGTACTTATCGTATTTATATAAAAAAAATTTTTAAATAATTATAATTTAAAATTTAAATTATTAGAATCGTGGTCAAGGGCTTGATATGAATGTTCTTGGAGCGTGGCAAGAAGGAATATCGGGCAATGGCGTTGTCGTAACAATTTTAGACGATGGTTTGGAAAAAAATCATCCTGATTTAGTTGCTAATTATGTGAGAGCATTTTTATTTAAGTATATATATACATAATTGAAAAAAATTTTTTTTTTTTTATTTTTTATTCACGTTCATTTTATTACATTTTAGGATCCTGAAGCGAGTTACGATGTAAATAGTCACGACAAAGATCCAATGCCTAGATATGATCAAGTAGATTCCAACAGGCATGGAACTCGTTGTGCTGGAGAAGTAGCGGCTGTTGCCAATAATTCATTATGCTCAATAGGAGTAGCATTTGGTGCTAGTGTGGGAGGTATGATTAAATATAAAAATAATTTTTTTTTTTTTTTTTTGCTTGTAATGTTAGAAAGTTATACTTACTAATGCTTACGTAATCATTGTTATTAAGTTTTTTTTTTTATTTGAATTTATTAAACTTAACTTTGAGTTATTTATAAATATTTTTACCTGTTGAGAAACAAAATTAAGACAGATGTTTTTATCATTTTAAAATCAATTCGTTTTATTATTTTTATAATTTAATTTACACTGAATTCATTGGAATTTAAATTAGTATGTTTAACTATTATGTTATGTTTTAATATAACATGACGGTCTACTGATCATCTTTGACGCATTTGAAATAAATAATTATTATAAATATTTAAAACGGTTGACCTTTTGTTGCGTGTTAAAATAATATTTTTTAACGCAAATGTAAGATTTACATTGAAAAAAAAGGTGATTAAATAAGCTACAATTTTTTTAATTATTTTTTTTTTTTTTTTTTTTAGGAGTTAGAATGCTTGATGGTGATGTGACAGACGCTGTAGAAGCTAGATCTCTTAGTCTGAACCCGCAACATATAGATATATATAGTGCTTCATGGGGTCCCGACGATGATGGTAAAACAGTGGATGGGCCTGGAGAATTAGCCACTAGAGCTTTTATCGAAGGAGTCACAAAAGTAAAATTTTCACTCATTTTAACTCTTTTTCTACAATTATAAAGAAAAATAAATATGTATAGAAACTAGAAAGGAAATGTTTGTTATATAATTTAGGGTCGCCAAGGCAAAGGTTCTATATTTGTTTGGGCATCGGGAAATGGAGGTCGAGAAAATGACAATTGTAACTGCGATGGGTATACTAATGCTATTTGGACTCTTTCCATCAGTAGTGCGACGGAAAATGGTTTGGTTCCTTGGTATTCAGAAGCTTGCAGTTCTACGTTGGCCACAACTTATAGCTCTGGATCAATCTCGGAAAAACAGGTATATTTACTATAATTTTTTTTTTTTTTTTTTTTTTAATAGATGTTATCTGAAAATCGGACAATGAAAAATATTTTAAATGTTCATTTGATCTTCTTCACAGTTTGATCAATAATATAATTTTTTGTTTTTCTACAAAATTTCTAGATAGTCACGACTGATCTTCGTCATAAGTGTACGAACGGGCACACGGGAACTTCCGCATCTGCACCTTTAGCGGCTGGAATCTGCGCTTTAGCTTTGGAGGCGAATAAAGATTTAACATGGCGCGACATGCAACATATAGTGGTTAGAACAGCCAGGCCAGCTAATTTAAAATCTTCTGATTGGAAGGTGAATGGTGTCGGCAGAAACGGTGAGTAGAAATTTAAAAAAAAAAAAAACTATTTTCTTTCAGATATATTTACTTTATTGCATAATTAATTTTCTATTACTTTAAAAATAATTTATTAAAATTAAAAATTCAGAGTTTATAAGTAAAATCGAGTATTTAAATTATTGCGCGTTTTTTTTTGTTACGCACACAAACACTGAAATATCTAAAATTTTCTTTGTCTTATAACAGTGAGCCATGCTTTTGGATATGGACTTATGGATGCTACAGCTATGGTCAAATTGGCAAGGACTTGGAAAACCGTACCCGAACAACAACGATGTGAAGTTTCGGCTCCCCATGTTGACAAGTAAAGTTTTGTTTTTCTCTTACATTTTCCTCATACATTGAATACTGTTTTCAATAGATGATATGTTACAGAATGATTCCTCCGCGAAGCAAAGTAATATTGGATCTCAACGTGACCACATGTCCAGGAGTTAATTTTTTAGAACACGTTCAAGCAAAAATTTCTCTTTCTTCTCCTCGTCGTGGAGATTTGCAAATTTATTTAACGTCACCGTCTGGAACGAAATCTACTTTATTAGCAAAAAGGCCTCACGACAGTTCTCGTAGTCCATTTACTGCGTGGCCGTTTATGAGTGTTCACACGTGGGGAGAAATGCCATTCGGCGTTTGGCAGTTAGAAATACATAATGAAGGAAGATATTTAGGTAAGCGATCGTAAACTTTTATTTTTCTTATTTCCCCCCCCCCCTTTCCCCATTTAAAAAAAAAATTTTTCTTATCTTCGATAATGTGTAAAATTGAATTATATAAATATTTCGTTTATAATTAATATATATATATATATATATGTATCTGTTGGTGCAGGCACTTTTTATAGAGACTCTTTCTTATTATTATTGATTTTTGCCTATATGTACTTAAACATTTTTCTTTTTTTTACAAAATGAAACTAAAAAATTATAAATGTTATTGAAAAGTGCTTCCATTTTAATAATTAAAATGGAAGGTTTTTAGTTTTTTTTTTTTTTTTTCTAACCGATTGTATATTTTATTAGTAGGTTGTATAGTAATAAGATTTAACTTTTTTTTTTTTTAATATTTGAATTTTTTATTAATATTAATTATAATTGCGTGTTTTCTTTTTACGCTGCTTTTTATTATGGATTTCGACTTCAGGTCGTGCAAATTTACAGGAATGGTCATTATTGTTTTATGGAACGACTCGAATTCCTTTTGAGATTCCATATCAAAGGACATCTCAACCTTCATCATCTAAATATAAATCTTCCCTTTCTCGTACAAATACGTTTTATTTAAATTCTAAAATAAATAAAACGGGAGCTCACGGTTCTTCTCATTATTTTAATAGGAAAAATTATAAAAATATTAAAAACAAATCTTCGACAACGTTTCGTACGGATAAATCAAGTTCAATCGGGAATGGGGAAAACGTTAAAATATTACCAACTATATCTTACAGAAATTTAAAAACTACAAAAAAATATTGGAATTTAAACGGTCATAAAAATAATAATTCGACAAAAGGTTTTTCCAAAACGATATTGACTCCCTTATCGACTCATAGTTTGCCTTTAACAATCGTTTTAGAACCTGGCGGCGAATCATACAGTCGCCAAAGAGTGCCTGATGTATTTCAAAAATATCCAAAAATCCAACAATTATTTCCCCTTTATGTAAATACGAGTCAAGAACATCAGGAGGGAAATCCAATATTAATATCTAAAATAAATAACAGACCCGATAATTATTATTCAAAATCTAGTTCCAAAAACAAAGGCCATGCAGCTTTGCAAAAAGCAGAAAGGCAAAATCGATTTGATACTTCTTTGTCTAGAACGAGCACAGAAGGAAAAATAAACGGAAATCGACCGATTCAAGGCAAGATAGACTATCTATATATATATATATTATTGTGCCTGATTATTATTTTTTTTTGTATTTTATTTAAATATTGTGTTAATATTATGGTTCATAACAATATTTTTATTTCATTGTTTGCATTGTGTAATGTTAATAGATAAAGATTTGGATTTTAAAAGTGATGAGTTGTGGATATGTGAAGAAGGAAATAAATATATATATATATAAATATTAATAGTAAAAATTATTTTTTCAGGTAATTTTGAAGGTTGGCAAATGCTTTTTTACGGTACCGAAGACATGCCTAACGGAGACGTGGTACCCGGAAGAAATAAAAATTGGAACGTGATATCGAAAATAAAAACCGTTTTAACGAATAGTAAAACAAATTCAGAAGACGACGTATCAAATCATTTGGATTCCGAAACGGGTAATAATAAAGTATGGAAAGATCAGGCGACGAGACGTGATGACATGATGAGAACGACAATGGATCCACTGGGAAATCCCTCATCCGGATGCGTTTCTATATCAAAATCTACCTCTCAGTGCGTAGGTTCGTTATTTTTATTTTTATTCACATCAAGTTGGGGATTCACAATTGACTTGTGGGAATTGGGTAATTTAATAGTAAGCTTCTCAGTGTTACCTATTAAGTACTTTATTAAAATAATATTAAGTTATTTTAGTTACGTAAAAAATATCGAAATAAAAATTTTAAATAAAAGACGTCTAGATCATTTTAATAATAAATTAAATAAGACTGATTTAGATAAAAACATCACAAGTTATAAATTGTTTTGTACTTTACTATATTTTAGTTTTAATCGTTTTATTAAAATATAATTAATTTTAGTTAAATCTTATATATAAATATATACATAAAGAGGAACAAAATAAATGCGTAGACAAATTATATAGACAAATTTTTTCTTTTTTTTTTTTTTTTTTTTTTTTTTTCTATCGAAAAACGATGTCGTTTATTATATATATATATATATATATATGACTTTTATTTAATACGTCAGACTCATTGCCCTTTATCATAATTACTATACATATTTTATAGCCGTCCAAAAATATTTTTAAAATTGTTAAAAGAGCGACTAAGACAGGTGACAATAAATTTATCATTATACAAAAAAAAAAAAAGTCGCAAAATTTTTTTTATAGGTCGGCAATTCCCTGTGATCCGTTTTTATTTAAATTATAAAAACAAAAGTGAACTTATTATTATTATTATTATTACTACTACTACTACTACTGGTACTACTACCACTCTTACTATTTAACGAACAACTTGGCTCTTGAACAAACTGGCTTTTTTATAGGAGCAAAGAGTCTGATTTTATGAGAATAATTTCAATTTTTTTTTTGTTAATAATTTAATTGTCATAGAAAGAAGAAATAATAATAATAATAATAATAATAATAATAATTTTTGAATTTGACTGATTAGTTAAATCAATTGTAATCAATATATAAAATTAGATACTAAAAAAATCCATCGATTATGTACATTTATTTAAAAAAATTTTTTTTCTTTTTTTTTTTTTTTTTTGTCTTTCATAATGTTTTCATATTTGGTGGTGTTAAGGATTAATCAAGAGGCCATTTTATTATTATTATTATTATTATTTTTTTTTTTTTATTCATTTGACGAAAAAACTGAACAAAATAAAAATTACGTAAATAAATAAGATTTTTGTTTTATTTGTTTTAAATACTTTGTATTGTTATTATTATTATTATCAAAAACTTTTTTTTACCCATATTTTATTATTATTATTATTATTTTTTTTTAATGGGTGCCAAGCATAAGTTTATAATATACATATATATATATATTTAAATTTATATTATATTTCTTTGATTGTACATTTATTATTTAAAAAAATATAAAGCAATAAATATTATATATATATATATATATATTTTAGCAGCATGATTTCCTGTTGGTTTTTTTTTTTTTTTTAATTAAATATCTTTATATTTCTTTTTTATTGGCTCACTTATAATATTATATATATATATATATATAATTTTTATTTATAAAATTTGTATCTTTTATTTTTTACAATAACAATTAATAACCTAATTAAAAAATTAATTAAAATTAAATTTACTTTTTTTTATTTTAACATAATTTATTTATATATTTTTTTTTTTGATATTAAACACTAATAAATTATTAACCCATTTTTGTAATTTAAATAATACATTTATTAACAAATTTTAATTTTTGATAAAAAAAAGAAGATTAATAATAATAATAATAGTAGTGATATGTTTTTTACTGGATTAAATTCAAAACAAAGTTGTCACAAAGTGATATAGTGAATTACAAGCGGAAAATTTAATAAAAAAAAAGTTCTTAAGTACTGTTATTAAATAATATTACTATTATTATTATTATTATTATTATTATTTTTAAAAATTTTGTTTAAAAAAAAAAAAAAAGAAAAACGTAATTTTTTTACTTATTTGAAAAACATTTAATTACTACATATATATGTGTGTGGGGGGGAGAGGGGGAAGGGGAGGGGAGGAATTGCTCAACGAACAAATATTATGTACTTTAATTCAATTAATAATTTATATTTATTACATGCTATTTATATGACGTTTGTGACAGAAAACAAAATATTTTATGGTTGGATTAAATAGGCTAAGAGAAGAAAAAAAAATAGAAAAATTTTTTTTAGTTTAACAGCTGCTTCAATTAATGACATTTTTTTAAAGGTATTAAAAAATTATTTAATATTATTATTATTAATATATTTATTTTATGCAAATTAATGTTAGAGGAGGAATAACAAGGGTTAAATATCGAAATTTTTATTTTGAAAAATTTCTCTTCCTCTTATTTTTTTTTTTATAGTAAATTTTTTGTTCCGACACTGACATTAATTTGTTTTAATTTCTCTCTTTATTTTTTTTAATTAATTAACAATTATTAAAATCTGTAATTTATTTTATTTTCGATACTAATTTCTTTTTTTTTTTTTTTCTTACGGGTTAATCTCATAAAAATTTTATTGAGGTTCCCAGGTCGAGGTAGCAGAGCCAACGTAAAATAAAAAAAAAATAAAAAATCTATAAGGAAGAGAGATACGTCGGATCGCTCCGAGGCCTGGGATTCGACACTGCCGAGTCCTTCTTCCTGGTGCTTGGGAAATATAAATAAAACTTATCATCATCATCATCACCACCACCACTACCACCACCTGTCCAATAAAAAAAAAAAAAAAAAAAAAAAAACTTCCGTTGATTGACCAAAAGGTAAGTGAACCGTCCTTTTTATCAACCCCATTGCTTATTATTTTATCCTTTTATTTGATAATAATAATAATAACGTTACTGAACCATATTGAAATATTTTGTTGTTTTGTGTTAATTTATTCTGTAAACGTTCATGATATTTAAAAGGTTTTTTTTTTAAAATAATAATTTTTTGTTTTTTTTTTTTTTGTTGCAGAATGCGTCAATGGAATGTACCTGTACGGAGGACAGTGTGAATCTATTTGCCCACCTAAAACATATGCGGATATCAATGCGGATGGCAGAGCCGTTTGTTTACCCTGTCACTATACCTGTCTTACCTGCGCCGGTGATTCAGATGGACATTGCACTTCATGTCACGACGAAGCCATATTGGTACCATCTTCGGCAAAAGTTTCCACAGCGTTGAATCGTAACAAGTCGTCTAATAATAAAATTTATTCTTCTCTCAGAAAGGACATCGTCATTGGATGGAACACACACGATGATATTGATATTGAAAATCTTCCTCTTTCGAACGAAAATTATCATTTGAGTTACGGGAAACGAGAGTCGGAATTTTATTACGTAAAAAAAAATCAGGTCGTTGAAAAAAAAGCAGTGACGAAAAAAATTTTAAAACCTTTTAACGATGCTACAACCGTCCTTTTCTATTGTTACCCGGGTAGCATGATGAACCAATTGAAATCATCAACATCTTGGTATTATAGAATGTCCGTATTATTCGCTTTTAATTTGTTTGTTTTATCCGTTATTTTGATGTATTTATTATGGAAAAAATTTTGTTCTAATTCGGTAAAAAATCAACAGGAAAAAGGAGGAGGAGGAGTCGGTTTAAAATACGGATATTTAAAAATGAACAACTCCGATATAGTTAAAATGCCAAACGGTGAAAATATTATTTATTTATCTAGTTCTAGCGATGAAGAAGAATTACTAGTCAATAAAGGAAAAGCAAAACTTAATAATCCAAATGAAATATAATAAAAAAATACCGGGATCCCCCCCTCCCCCTTTAAATTTGACTTACAAAAAAAAGAAGATAATCATCGTTTTGCATGAGAAATAAATATAATTTTTCCTCTATATCTGTGTAGTATTATATTTAAAAAAAAAAAAAATTATATATCATTATTATTATTATTATTATATAAATCAAATATTTCTATATTGAAATGTAAATTTTAAAGGTCCATCAGGTTTATTAATTAAATATGATTTTGAACCTAAAGGATTTCCAATCCAATCAATTTTAAAATTTCGACATAACTAAAAAAAAAAATATTAATTAATATTATTATTAATATTTAATTTTATTTTTTTTTTTTAAATTAATGAAATAAAGAAAAAGAAAACCTTTAAAATAGTTATTTGCATGTTTTGTTCAGCCAATCTTCTCGCTATACAAGATCTTGGACCATGACCAAACGGAAGTACCAAATATGGATTTAAATTTTTATTTTCTTTTTTCAACCATCTTTCCGGATAAAATTTCAAAGGGTGAGTAAAATATTTATCTAATTTACATATTATTTCGTTTTGTGTAACTATAACATTCTAAAAAAAAAAAAAATTATTAATATTTATTTATTTAAATTTATATATTCGTAGGTAAAAAAAAAAAATATTAACTCCTTTTGGTACTCTGTATCCGGAAAAAATGGCGTCTTCTAATAATATTCTTCCGATTCCAACTGATATTGGATTTAATCTAAATGATTCTTTAATAACTGCTTTTAAATATTCCGCATTGGCCAATATGTCGCTCGTTATCAAAGAATCACCCTTAGGAAGAAGATTAAAACTTTCTTTAAATAATTTTTCTTGTTTTTCTTTATTTGTTGCCAAATGATAAAGTGTAAAACTTGTTGAAAATGTCGTCTGAAAAGAGGGGGGAGGGGGAAAACACCCTTAATTATTTAAGGATAATTTTTTTTTTTTTTAAATAATAAAAATTATTTATTATTTACCGTATCGATACCAGCAAGTAAAATATCTGCACACATTCCAATTATGTCTTTTTTATCGATTTCTTTAGACGTTAAATAATATTCCAAAAGTGATTTTTCTCCATCATCATTATCATTATCATTATTATTTTTATTAATCATTTTTTGAATTTTTTTTTCTATTAATTCTACAGCCATACTAAAACATTATATATATATTGTGATTAAATATTTATTAAAAAAAAAAAAGGGGGGGGGAAATAATAAAAAATTTTTTTTATATACTTTTCCATAAATTGATGAGCATTTTTTAATTTATTATATAAAGGAGTATTCCAGAATCTCCAGAGTCTAAGACCGTTATCTGTTTTTAATATACATGAATTAATCGTCAATGCGGATTCCATTAATTTACTACTTTTTGATTGAGGTTTTAATTCTTCGGTTGTAAAACTATTTAATCTGGAGTCGAAAATTACAACCCCTAAAACTAATTATTATTATTATTATTATTATTAATCATCCGTAAATTTTTTAAAGTAAAATTTTATATGATAAACTCACTTTCTAAAAAAAGTCTTGATAATTTATTAATAAAATCTTCTGTTTTGGAAGACTGGGAATCCCCCAAGTGAGATATAAAACAATCAACGATATCATTTGTTTGTGAAATATAAGAGCGAACATTTTTTGGAGAACTTAAACCTTTTTGAAAAAAACTACGAAGTCGATACCATTCAGGTCCGTTACTTAAATTCAATAATTAAATTAACCTTTTAACCCTTTTTATTTATTAGAAAAAAAGGAAGAAAAGAAAAAAGAAAAATTTACGTGGGTAATAATCCTCCAGAATTATATAAATCTTTACGATGATTTCTATAATGTTGTAAAGCCAAATGACTTCTTCTTTCCGGATACCTTCCTTCTATTTTAAATAATTTTTTTATATCATCTGGATTAAATAACCAAATAATATTTGTTCCAGGTACGATTTCTTCTTTTATTATCGGACCAAATTCATTATATTTTTTTAAACCGTTTAAATAAAGTTCATCGAATTTATATTTTCCTTTAATTAAATTTTATTTTATTATTTTTATTATTTGAACACAAAACAAAACAAATTTAATTAATAAAATAAATTAATAAAAATTTATTAAAAAAAATTAAACTTACCAATAACTGGAAGGTAATAAAAAAGGGTTCCAATAAATGGTAACGATTTCGGTCCTGGAATTTCAGAAAATGATTTTATAAAATTTCCATTCATATCACACGCACATAAAAATAAAATTAATATATTGATATTAAAGTTTAATAATAATAATAATAATGAAAAAGTTGAAGAAATGTACGAGTTGCACGTTTGGTCATCACTGAAATTTAAGATTTTACGTGTTTTTATATTGACTTTTAATACAAAAAGGATATAACTTTGTTTTTTTATTATAAATTATTTTTTTTTATCGGTAAGAAATATATTAAACATACACACGCACACGCACACGCACACACATTAAATTTTATAATTTTATCGATAAGTTCGTATGAACGACTTATAATTAGAATAATGAAATTATTATATTTTGAGTGGGAAATTAAAAGGGTAATTTTTTCAGTCATCGGGAGCCATTTTTGGGGATCCAAATAACAATAAACTATATAAGAAAATTATAAAAATATTTAAAAGAAGAAAACCGTACAGGAAAACCCCATCGATCACGAATCGAATAGAGATTCCCAAATGTATGCTGAAAAACATTGACAACAAGCACATAGTACCTGTACCTATTAAATAATAATAATAATAATAATAATAAACCAGTGTAACACTCGTGCATTTACCTCACGTTAAGAAGAAAAATTTATTTAAATTTAATTCAAATTTATTTTTTTTTTTTTTTACATACACAAAAAAAATGTTTAATTTATCGTGTTAATAATTTTATCTTTTTTTTCGGTAAAATATTAATAAATGCACAATATATTAAAATTACTTTATATTTTAATAATTAAGTAAAAATAAAAAATTATATTTAATAATAAATAATTTATCATCGAGCGGTAATTTTTTTTTTTTTTTATTATAAAAATAATTTAAATTGTACATTTAAAATATTTATTTTTTGTTTATTTGTCTATAAGACACCCATATTTTCCAAGATATGTTATTAAAAAAATTTATTTATTTATTTTTTTTTGTTTTACTCAAAGGAATTGAATGCAAATCTAAAACTAATATAAATAAAATATATTTTTTATCATTATTTTAAAGTCTTAAAATAATCAAGCCGTGCAATTTATAATTAATTTATAAATATTCTACGTGAAAAAAAAAAAAAAAAAAACGTTTATCTAATTTCATTTGTTTGTAATTTTAATATTGTTTTAAAAAAAAAAATTTTTTTTAAACAATA